ACACTTCCGACTGGGTGGCTCGTGGGGCAGACGGGGAGGAGTAGAGACGTTTCATCAGGTGTTAGGGCTGAGGGTGGCCAAGGGTGTAAACACGACAACTGGAAGGGTTTTAGCGGGCTTGTGGACTAACGAGGCCACACTCCAAACACCTGCCTTTCACCCACCCGCTCCTAACACTCTCCCTGCTGTGTGAGCCTGGCCACCGTGGCCAGAGCTGGACACCTGACCACAGGGGCCACAATGAGAGTCTCTCCAAACAGAGATGACGGCTGACCAGGACAGCTGGCCTCCTTTCAGGGTCTGACTATTGGAGTGAGCTGGTCTGATGAGCTTGGAGCCCGAGAGACTGGGAAGGAGCACAGCATTTGTGGAACACCAGCAGAGATTGGACAGTGAGCTGGTGTGGGTGGGCACAGGGCCAACCTCACAGCGTGGGCCCCATACTCAGGGGTGCCCCATGCTGGCTTCATGCTCCATCTTAAATTTGTTCATAATTTTTAAATGAGGGGCCCTGCATTTTCTTTTTGCCCTGCAAAGTGGACAAACAGCCCACCGGAAGTGCCTGGTGACGGGCAGCAGGTCCAGAGCGCTGGCGTGCTTTGTGCCGCTCCAGGTCATCCATGCAGGAGGAAAGAAACCCAGGTTTCCTGACTAATGTGTCCTCAGGAGGGGGAGGCACTGGTGGGCTTTCTGTCCCAGGAGATTCCTCTCCAGTTGGGATCCTGTCTGCAGTGCTCCGGGCCCTGCGAGCAGGGCCAGAGGATGGCTGTTTTGACAAAAACAATTCCAGCCACTGGACAGGCCTGTTCAATACACTATCGACAGATTCACCTTGGCAACCTGGAGCCTGCTCTTCCATAAGCACCTCTCCCTCACTGCCTGTCTTTGGTCTTAAAGATACACCTCCCTCCCCTCCCAGCTGGTGCAGGACCCAGAGACAAGGGGCTGGGCCGAGCACTGGTCCAGGATATAAGCAGATGATGGGGGACACTCCTTGCGTCCAGCCAGCAGTCCCACTTCCACTTTGCATGGGGACCTCCTCCTTTATGCCTTTCACCCCATCCCGGGAAACTGACAAAAAAGCCTTGGCTCCCTGGGGTTGAGGTGACAGAGGCAAACACTCTACCTTAACCCTGCTCTTCTCTAGAACGTAGACTTAGGAACCGTGAAGTGGCAGGTATGGTCACTCCTCAGTGGGGTTGGAGGGTCTGAATTTAGGGGGGAATCGCTGGTGTACAGCGCAAATAACCAGGCCTCTATGAGCACCGTGAAAACAGCATAATCGATGCATCTGAGAAACAGCAAGCACCAGCTCTGCAGACTGCACAGATACCGGCCTGGCCTTTCTGAAAACCAGAGCTGCTCCAGAGCTGGGACCTGTCCTCCAGGACACACACAGGTCCCACTGAGGACACACACAGGTCCCACTGAGGAGCCCAGGGCTTCTTTGTCATTCCTGCATGACGTGCAAAAGCCAGTCAGCAAGGAGTCAGGCTGAGAAACGAGTGGGAAGTGACCAGGGGGCGAGTTATCCTTGGTTTAATCGCTTTGATACCCACAGCATTTGTGTCTGTCTGTCTGGCTGCGCCTATTTGGAGAAAGAAGGTAGGCTCAGTATAAACAGGAAGGTATCTCTGCCAGCGGTGGGCAACTGAGAGGGATATGAAGCAGTCACATCAGCAGAGTGTGTGGGAGGGAGTAATCCCCAGTTAGCTCCATGCACAGAATAGCTGTAGTTGGTTTTCAAAATTCTGAGAGGATTTCCCTGGTGGTGCAGTGGTTAAGAATCTGCCTGCCAATGCAGGGGACACAGGTTCGAGCCCTGGTCCAGGAAGATCCCACATGCTGCGGAGCAACTAGCCTGTGCGCCACAACTACCGAGCCTGCGCTCTAGAGCCTGCAAGCCACAACTACTGAGCCCGCACGCCACAACTACTAAAGCCTGCATGCATAGAGCCTGTGCTCCGCAACAAGAGAAGCCACCGCAGGGAGAAGCCCGAGCACCATAACGAAGAGTAGCCCCCACTCGCCACAACTAGAGAAAACCCGCACGCAGCAACGAAGAACCAATGCAGCCAAAAAAAAAAAAAAAAAAAATTCTGAGAAATACCTCTCGTCCACAGAGGCTTCTGTGGCAACATTTCTCTTGTCCTGTGCAATATTTCTCGGCCTCCATGGCATTTGTTCTTGGTCTCCAGGCTGAAAAAGAAACCTATAATCCCTAATAGGTTTAAAAAGGAAAGGACGCTTTCTCTATATGGATCTTCTTCCATGAGACTCTGCTATTTCTTTGGACTTAAAGAAAAACATCAATTTCAAGCAAGGGGGTGGGAGTGGGAGGCACAAGCCCGTTTCTGAACCTTTCGATCTGAATCAGTCAAAGAATACAAACTCACCCCATTATGATCATTACTGTCAAATCACAGGCAATCAACTCGCTGACACAGGCCAGACGGACATCCGGAAGGAATCCGTAGAGCCAGAGCTGGTTCTGAGCCCTGAAGAGCTGAACTCTTTAAATCAAAGAAGGAAAGAAAGACAGGCCTTGTGCTTTTATTTCCTGGTGTTCCCTATTACTTTTACATGTTTTTTATTTCAGTAGCATCAGACAGAAACCTGCACTCCAAAGTGAGGAGAAGTGGCCCAATGATGCCTATAGACAGTGGGGCACACATGCAGGTGAATGTTCTGGACCCCCAGTGCCACCAGCCCCAGGCCAACAACTGATGCTCCTCAATCCATCCACAGAGAAAGCTGGTGGTTCCTGTTCACCAAGTCTCCCCAGAGGTGCCATTCTTGAAAGTTCTCCCCAAAGCAGGACCACATTCTAAGGGCCCTGGGCACTTTTGCCTTTGTGGGCCCCTTTCTCCATAAAAAAAAAAAAAAGTGTTAAAAATTATAGGTTATAACTGCCTTGATATAAAGATGAACACGTTAATAGTCTACATTAAAACATTTTCTTTGAACTTAAGGGTTTTTTCTTCTGATTTTAAAAGAAATTAGATATACATACAGTAGAATATAATTCAGCCTTAAAAAAGGAGGAAATTCTGACACATGCTACAACATGGATGAAACTTGAAGACATTATGTTAAGTGAAATAAGCCAGACACAAAAGAACAAATACTGGATGATTCTACTTATATAAAGAACTTAGACTAGTCAAATTCATAGAGACAGAAAGTAGAATGGTGATTGCCAGGGGCTGGGGGGAGAGAATGGGGAGTTATTGGTTAATGGGTAGAGTTCCAGTGTGGGAAGATGAAAAATTCTGGAGATGGATGGGGGTGATGGCTACATAGCAATGTGAATGTACTTAATGCCACAGAACACTTAAAATGGTTAAAATGGTAAATTTTATGTTATGTATATTTTACCAGAATTTTAAAACAACAACAAAAAGAAACTAGAACATTTTCATGGACCCCTAAAAGTATTGTGGGCCCTGGCACGGAGCCTTCCCAGTCTGATGGAGAAGTGGCCCTGCTCAGAAGCATGCAGCTGGCTGGCTTGTGTGGGCCCACTCATGCCCTTCATCAATCCCACATTCCTACAGCTACACTCACCATATTCCTTCTGCCATCCGTCTGTCTAAGCCCAGAAAAAATGAAATACTGAACTTTATTTGGGACTTTAGTGATTATAAATAATTTTGACACATTCCAACCCACCTCCTGCCTTTCTCAAGGGTATTGTCTCCATTAGAGGAGAGGACTTGGGGTCCCTCCCCCCCTGCCTGGGGTATCTCTTGGGGTTTTATTCTCCTTCCCAGTCAGCAACCCAGGGGAGCATCCCTTACAGGGAAGTGTTAGGGCATTTTTAAGATGTGGCATTTGTTGGCCAAGCCAACTTTTTTTTTTAGTGAAGCTCAGTTTAGGGAAGAGAGTTCATGGTGGAGTTTCTGCTCTATCCCCCCTGCCCCCCAATTCCTACATAAATCCCCCTGGCTCTCTGGGGAAATATGCACTGTAATATCAGTTTACTTCTTATTGGCCCTTTGATAACAGAACAGGGGTTTTGTGATGCTCTTGACCTGAGATTTCCTTTAAAAACCTCAAATTAAAAAATGTATATATGCTCCTGCCGACTTCTCTCTGGGAATGAAAGGGCACTGAGCAAGGGGCCGGTTTGGGAAACAATGGCCCTGGCCATTGGGTTGTGTTCAGTCCTGAGTGTGCAGGGTGGGCTCCTAACGCTCCAAGTCTCTCTGGGGCTGGTTGTTTCTGGCTAGAAAGGCAGCCTCGCAGCCGGAGTGAGGGGGAGGGGTGAGTTAGAGGCAGCGCGCGCGGGGCTCCTCTGTGCACCCCCCACAGCAGTGAGATTCCCCCACTTTGCCCCACGTGCACATCTCCTTCCCACTCCCGGGGGCGCAGAGGGCGGCCAGCTCTGGCAGGCCCCAGCTGCCTGCCAGCCCGAGGGGAGCCCGCCCCCTAGGGGAGGGCGTAGAGAGTGCAGGCTCCTCAGCGCCACTGCCCCGGCCCCGCCCCGGCACCTGGAGCAGGCAGGTGAGGCAGCGGCCGGGGCCCCTGGGAACCGAAGGGGATCCCTTGGGGGTCCTCAGGGACAATCACAGGAAACTATCCTCCGGAAGAAGCTGTGGAGGAAGACTTCTTGGGCAAACCTGGGGGATCTTTCTGGAGGTGGGGTCGAGGGGACACCCACCCATTTCTATCAGGATTCAGGAGGGCGGGGCGAGGGGGATGGACTAGGTGACCACGTCCGACGACCTCGTCATCGGGAGTGGGGGTGGGGTGGGGACGGGGACCTGGACATGGAGGGACGAAGTTTCAGGGCTGCCAGACTCAGCTCCGGAAGTGGCCAAAGGCGGCCCCGATGCAGACAACATGGGATTAGAGGGTACCCCAGGCTTTACCACCCGTCCCCAGCCCTCGGCCCCTGAAGCACAGGCCGAGCTGTACTCTGGCTGGGCCCTCCCGGCCGCCATCCCACGGTCACCGGATCCCTGAGCACCCCCTCCGTTCTCCCTTTGATCCTGCAGGGATAACCGCCGCCCCAGGTGTCCAGCGGAGCTCGCCGCGCTCCCGCCCCTGGGGATCGATCGGCTGGCTGGCGACGCGCGGCAGCGGCTCCGGAGCCACCGCCCCCTCCCCCGCCCGGGCTACGCAGGACGCGGCCTCGAAGCAGCGTCCTCGCGGTTCCGGGCCGCGGCCGGTCTCGGCTGCCGGCCAGCGGGGAAGGCGGAGACGCACCGGGCCCTTCCTATCGCTCGGGCCTCGCCACGCCGGGGTTGGCGGGGGCGAGGAGGGGGAGGAGAGCGAGCCCAGCTTCCCCGGCCCGCCGACGCTCGGCACCCCACCCCCGCTTTTCCTGCGTTGCCAACTACCCACTCCCGCGCACGCTTAACCCTCGGCGCGCCGCAAGGCGGGGAGGGGGAGCGCATTGGGCTGGGGGGAGGGGGGGTAGCAGTCGCGCTTCGGCTGACTACTACTTCGGGGTCCTCCTGGCGATTTTTATTTTATCCCCGGGTTTGCTGCAGCAGCTCTTGGTTGGAAAAAGGAAAGAAAGAAATCTGCCTTCTCTATGGGCCCCGCATAGAGAAGGCAGGGGGGCGCAACGGAAGCACCCGAGAGCAAAATGCAGGGGCGGGTGTGAATGGGGTGAACCTCGTAGGCACAGGAGATCCGCGGGGAGACCTTGGGCAAACGAAACCCAAATGAAAAACACAGCACGCAGAGGCCGTTGTGAGTGCGCGGCGGCGGCGGCAGGCGGTGGAAGCAACAGCAAAGATCATATTTGAAATATGGATCCTGTGGGCGCATATCTCCAGGCGGGCCGGAGCCCTGCGACCGAGAATGAGACGGGGGCTGGGTGGGGTTCTTCCGGAGAACCTGAGAAGCTGCCCTGACGCTGGGAAGGGGTGGACCAGCCGACGTCGTAGAAAACGACGCGTCCCGCTTCGGCGCCCGCGACCACCGCGTGCCGCAGGCGCGACCCTGCGGCGGCCAGTGTGGCCCCAAGGCTTGCCCCAAGGGGCCACGACCTCGCGGCGCGCCGGACCCGTTCCCCGCCCCGCGCGCCCAACCGGGCCCTCCCACCTGGAGCCCCAGCTCCGGCCCCCAGCTGCTCTCTGAGGAGGGACGCGGGGGCGTTAGGGGCTTCACCACCCAAATGAAAGCCGACCTTCGCGGGCGGTGCGACTAAGAACAGAAACTTGGGGGTGGGGACGCAGAGGGCGGAGCGGAGCCCTTAGGGACAAAGCCATCCCTCCTAGAAGGTGCATGGGGCAGCATTCCGGACTCCCACACAGCCTCCCCACTCTACTCACCGCCCACCCCCCGCACAGTCCCACAAGGTCAGCTGCCCCAAAGCCAGCGCTAAAATGCAAAGTTACATACGCCAGAGCTAAAGTCAAAGACAAGTTCCCCTACTAAGAACAGAGGAGAGAAATGAGCTCTTGTCAAAGCCTGGGCAGATTTTGTAGTCGTTGCTAGTAAATTCTCCCTCAGCTACATAAAATCCACCTCTGGGGGCCTAAAAAGTCACACTAACTAGAGAGTTTTCTCAGCCGGGGACTGGCTGGGGAAGTCACAGGCGGCTCCTTCCGGGCAGAGCCCAGACCTGGGCTCCGTGGGCGGGTGATGGCATCTCCTGGCAGAGATCGTCCATTCAGAGAGCGAGTTTCTTTAAGAAGCCGTTTGCTTCCCCGGGTTGGCACGGGTCAGGCCCCTTGGAGCCCTGAACTGTCAGTGACCATCCTCGGATGTAGGGCCGTTAAAAATTTCCCGGCTTCTCCAGGGTCCACTCTTTCGGCCCTCGGTACTCAGGGCGGGAGCCTGCGGCTTGTCAAGATAGCATCGCTCCTCTCTTGGGGCCCTTGAGGGCCCCTAGGGGCCCCAGCCTGAGGTGGCACCCAGGAGAATTCTGCCCCTCGGCGGAACCGAGGGGCGCGATCTGCCCCCGGCTGGAAGGGGGCAGAGTCAAAAGCGCAGACCGGCAACACTTCTCCGGGGTTCCCCGTGAGGCTTGGGGTATCCCGGGTCGGAGGCAGGGGCCCCGCTGAAGGCTCTGGGAATCCCGAATTTAGAGCTCCACTCGCCTGCGACTCCCTCGAGGGGGCCAAGACAGAGGGTGGGATGGTAGGGGAGGCCCCACGGGAGATTTCCCAGGAGGGGCTCGCGGGGCGCATCGGGGGAGCTTCCAGGGCGCTCATCGTTCCCCACCCCTCAGATTCTGTCTTTGCCTTCTCCTTGCATCCAATCCCGCGGACCTGAGCTCCTCCCCGCACCCGCTGGCAGGTGAGGGGTGGTCTAGGGTCAGGCTTCGAGATGGGGCGAGGGCTCTGGGAGTCGGCCTCTCTCCACATCGGCCCACCCACCACCAGGACAAAGTAAATAACCACGCGAGCTCCCGGGTTCGGCAGATGCTTGTGTATTTTGGTCACTTTCCACAGAAAGGCTGGGAGCGGGGGCGGCCGGGGACTCTCGGGGCTTCTTTGGAGCTTCTGGGCGTCCCCTCCCGAAGTCTTGGGGAGCCTGTGGCTGCTCGCACAGCCATACCGGCAGCTCCAGAAAAGATCCGCCGTATTGGCCGGCGGGATCCACCCTTCCTCCCCAGCTCAGCAGCAGGCCGCCCGGCTCCTGCGCAAACCCGCCGTCGGGGCACCGGGTTCTATAGCGTGGCCCCCGAGATCCGGAGCGCGGGCCCCGGAGGGGCGCGGGCGGAGCGAGCCGAACAGCGGCCTGCGGAGTCCGACGCCCCTGGCGGCGCGGAGGCTGCAGCGGCCGCTCGCCCTCCCTCGGCACCCCCCTGCCCGGAGAAGCCTCGGAAACACCCCTTGGAAAAAGATTTTCCAGGGGATTTTCTAGCGAGGGGGCGGGCGGAGTGTCGGGAAGCTAAGACCCTCCCCGGACGAAGGGACTGTCCAGGACAAGGTCGCTGCAGACCTCCAGACAGACCGACAGCGCCGACGGCCTGGCAGTTGGTAGGCTCAGTTTGGAAGGGTGGCTGTCGCGCTGACAGCGCTTACCCCGCCAATCTCGGGGAGCCTTCCCCTTCTACGGTCAAGTTGTCTCACACGAGAGCTCCTCTCCCGGGACACGAGCGTCAGGAAAAAGCCCAAAACACAGCAGGGGGAGGAAAACCTTTTCCTGTGTCCCCCTCCCAAAGAATTCGCCTCCCTCAGCTTCTGTACACCCAGAGAGCCCCCTACCCCAGGACTACAAGCAGGCGTCGCCCCCACCCAGGCCGGCGCGTCCCCCCAACACCTTCTCGGGGGAATCTTGGGTTTGCGCCTCAAGCTTGTCAGAGGGTAGTCGCTGCAGACCGAGCCCCTCTCTGGGGCAGCCAGAAAACGATCCCCACCCCCAGGACCCCTCCGGGGAGGAGCCACGCGGGCCGTCTTGAGCCGCAGCCGCCAGGGCAGCAGAAGCCGCCGAGCCGCGGGAGCTGCGAGGTGGTGGTGAAATGGTGGAGTCAACGTGTTCGTCCTTAAACACCAGACCGTCTCCAGGCTTCTCCCGGATTCCCGGGAGAAAATGAGCCCAACGCATGCTTTGGGGGTTCGCTTCCCCACCTCGCCCCGCCCCCGCTTTCTCGAGCCCCGCGCAGTCCCCACCCAGCATTCCGGGACGTGTGTCAGGGCGGGAGCGGAGACCCGGATGGCTCTTTGCCCACCCCCACCCCCCCGCTCGTTCCACTCTCGCTCGGCTTTTGCTCCTTTTCTTTCTTCCATGGACCCTCAGCCAAGGGATTGCGCAAGCTTCCTGCTCCCGGTCCTTCAAGGGCCCGGAGCTGGGGGCCCGGACACACCCCCGGGCAGGCGCGCCCCTGCCCCTGCCACTTGGGCCGCCCTGCCCCCTCCTCACTCCGGCCCCACAGAGATCGCAGCCCCGCGGGCGGCGCCCTCGGAGGCCGCGTGGGGCGCAGCAGCTCCCCCAGCCGGACGCTGGAGCTGCACGCCGGAACGCGCCGTCTCGCCGCCGGAGGTGCTAAACTTCACACTCGGCGGCTTCTCCGGCCGCGTCGGGAGGGCCTCGGCTCGGCTGCCGCTGCCGGTCAGGGAGCAGGGAGCGCGAATTCGTGACGAGTGCTTGGCTCCTCGGCCATTCCATTCACCTCCCTATCGTGCGGCCCCGCTGTGCCCTGCTCAGCTTCAACCTTTTCTTGACCCTCCCTGCTCCCTCTTTCGAAGCCCTTCCCGGGACCCCACGAAGTCCTCTCGGGCCCCCAAGCCGACCTGGACATTCCCTTCGCCCCCTCTTTGTCTTCCCTGCCTCCCGCCGTGTTGGCCGCGGGCTGGGGGCGGGGGGTTGCTGCTGGAAACTGGACATCCCGCCCTCGCCCCAACAAGGAGAGGGCTGAGGGTAAACTAGGAGCCTCGCAGGTTCCGGGGTGGGATCGGAGAACCCTCTGGTAAGGTTCTTGAGCCCTAGGGCCCCAAGCTGGCTGCTCCTCTATCCCCTTTCTCCTCTCCGCGCTCTCCCTGGCGGTCCTCTGCACCCAGTCGTCTCTCTCCTCCCTATCCTTTCTCTTCCTATTCCTCGCCTTCCTAAATGCCCTAAGCCTCGCGGGGCGGGGCGGGGCGGGGCGGCGGGACACAGAGAGTGGGGGCGCGAGCTGCCCCTGCTCCGATTCCGCCCCCTGCCGGCGACCCCCTGTGAGTCTGCACATGACGCAATTCGGTGCAAATGGAAACTGCAGTGGATGCTTCCGTGGCCCCCGGCAGGGGTCCCTGGGCAGTGCACGCTGAGAATGAGAGGCGAGGGAGCCGGCCGAGGCGGTAGGCCGCAGGCGAGGGGTCGCAGCCAGACCCTCGCGGCACCGTCAAGCTCTCCACCCCGCCTAGGCCCGCCGCCGACACACCTCTCCGGCCC